GTGCCCGACGGGCCCGCCGCGCCCTCGGGCGCGCGGGCCCCCGCCGCGGCCGCAAGACCGCCGCCGCTCGAGCCGCCGCCGCAGTGAGCGCCGGCGCCGCTGCTGCTGGACGCCGGGGACGCAGGCGCCTCGACCTCCGCCGTGGACGGCAGGCCGCCGGGCGTGACGCTCCTGGCGCCGCATCCGCCGCCGCCGCCGCCGCGCGCGCGGACCTGAGCGTATGCGCGCCCCCACTGCTGCACCGCCGGCTCTCCAGGGTCTGCTTCCAGGCCGCCGCACGCCCCGGCGTCCGCGTCCCAGGCTGGGTGGCTCATGAGCGCGCCGCAGTGGAGCCTGGGCGCGGGGGCGGCCGGGGGGGGGGGCTTCCGAGGATGTGGGCAGAGGGCTGGGGGTTTGCAGGGATGTGAACGGAGGGCCGCCGGCGCTGCGGCGGGCGCGTGCGGCGGCGCATGTCCGCTCGCAGGTGCAGATGCAGCTGCAAGCAAGCAGTTTGAGTGTTCTCGTAGGCCAGTCAGCCGGCCGGCCAGGAGGCGCCCTGCCGCCGCGCTGGTCCCCTTGGCATAAGCGTCGTGCGCAGCGAGCGGCCAGGCTCACCCGTGCTCGCTGGCGCCGGCGGCCTCGCCATCGGCCCCCGCCCCGCTGGCCCCCTTCTTGAACAGGCGCAGGACGCTCTCGATGCTGCTTCGGGTGGCGCGTCCAAAGTCGGGGCAGTCGGCCGCCATGCCTGTCGCGTGAGCGGAGCGCAGGGGCAGCACAGAGGTGTGCGCGCGCGGTGCGTAAAGGCCGGTGGTGTCCTGTACCCAAGTCACGACGATACAGGTTTATAATAAGCTGCAATCATCAACAAACACGCGTCAGTGTTGCGTGGAGGGCAGGAACGGGCGGCAAGATGTACAGGCCCGTTCGGGACGCAGGCCAATGTGGCCTTGCGGGGCCTTCCGCCTCTCCGATGTTTACACTGTTGCATCTAAACAGGCTTTAATTCTCTAAACCCTCTTGGAGCATGGCGATCGGCCCTACCGTGGTCCTGCCCTACTGCTGAACCGCCGTCCGCGTGCCCTCCACCCGCGGGCTAATACGTAACTTACTATGTAAGATATATCACACGCATCAAGCGACCACGCGCTGGCAACGCGATGGGTGAAGTGACCCCTCTGGCCGCAACGCTTGAGAGCGCCTGCAGGTGTTTTTTCGGCAGTTGGGGATGCTGACTGCGATGGCGCCAACCACTGGCGCCAGCCGGCGTCATAATCATCGACACATCTCGTATGGGACTCTTACACGTGCGTAGTCTGCCACGAGACCGGCGGTGGCCCACATGTACGGGCAGCATCAGTAACTTAGAGTCACGCACCCGGGCCACCAACATCTGCAAGAACCACGCCAGCGCAATTAGCGGCGCTTGGTGCCGGCGCCGCCGCCCCGCCCCCCGCGCGGCCCGCCCCTTGGCGCCCCAGCGATGACAAAGCACGCCAGCCGCCGTGCGGCGGGCAGAGCGGCCGCCGATGGCGCCCTCCGGCCCCGAGGGCAGGACCACTGCAACAGTGACGTCATCAGTCCTCCATGTCAGACTCCTCCAGGGCCGCCTTCGCCGCCGCCTCCGCCTCCGCCAACACCTCTGCAGGCACCTGGGTGGATAATTTGACGCGGTGGCTTTTGGGGATGGGGCGGCCAGCAAACGACGCCGAGGAGCCACGACTTGTCTTGTGCGGCAGCAACAGAACTGGAATCGTTCACAAGTACCGCGCTCCTACCCTCTCGCAGCGGTGGTCGCGGTTGTACCCATCACGCCGGCCGCAAACCGCTCAGCCCCAGCCTTCCGCCACATCCGCCGGCGGCCTCCCTTCGCAGCGGCCCGCGCCCCGGCCTCATCGCGCCCCGCGCCGCCGCGTCGCGCGCCTGGTGCGCGCACCCCGCCAAGCCCGTCCCCTGCCTGCCTGCCTGCCTGCCTGCCTGCCGCCCGCCGCCCACCGCCCGCCCTCGCGCCGCGCACCTTTTGGTGCACGCGGCCGCTCTCGTCGCAGACCCAGCTGATCTCGATCTCGAATGGCTTGCCGTCCTCCTCATGGACCTTGTGCAGGCTGCAACAGGATGACGAGAGGGCACGGGCCGGCCGCCGCAAGCGCAGGCATGGCGGAAAAGGGGACGTGAGCGGGACAGCCGCCCTCTTCGGCAGGGCCAGCGGCCCGCGGCCCCGCAAGAGAGCGGCGGCGCCGCGCCCCACAGCGCGAGCGTCCGCCGTGAAGCGCGTGAGCGCGCCCCTGCTCCCTGCCTGCCAAGGCCTACTCGCAAACCCCATGCGTGGGCCCCACCACAGCCACAAGCAGGCCCTGCCCCGCGACCGCTCACATCTTTGCGGCCTCCACCACTGCCTCGCGGCATGTGATCTGGCCGAGCTTCATCTTCTCCAGCTCGTTCTTCACGGCCTGGCGCGCCTTGCCCACCTTGTGGCAGTGGGACGTGAGGGCAAGTGTGTGTGTGTGTGTGTGTGTGTGTGTGTGCGTGTGTAAGGACGAGCATGGGACTGGCATGTTGTACGTGTCTAGCGACCGGCAAAGGAACCAAGGCAGGGGCGGGAACAAGCGTACTTGCAGGGTGCAACCCAACATCTGCGTGGCCGCTGCCGGCCATCGTGCAGCCCCGCCTTTCGCTCCCTTCCCAACCTGCCTCCCTCCGCCCCGCCGCGCTCGTGCGCATGTGTGGAGCCCCTGACCCGCGCACCGCCGTGCCAAAGTAGCCGTGCGCCACCCCCGAGGGCTCGACCAGGTACAGCGCGGGGCCATCGTCGTCGTACGTGGCCAGCAGGCCCGCCGCCCCGTACGGCCTGCACGTTTTGAGTTGAGATGCGAAGAGATGCGAGGAGGGACACGCAGGGGCGGAGGGACCGAGAGGGGCTCGGCCTGTGGCAGCGTTGGGGCGGCCGGGGCGAGCGTGCGCCGGGAGCGCCCTCTGCCATTGCTGATGGCATTGTGGCCGCAGGCCGCCAGGGCGCCCCGCCGCCGCGCTCGCGCGCGGCGGGTCTGGGTGAAATGTATGACAGCTGGCCAGCCAAAAGGACACTCGTGGACGTCCTTGTGCGTGATGTGGGCCCACCTCATGGACCAGTACAGGTTGAAGAGGTGCATGTAGCTGGCCAGCCGCTCGCACAGCACGCGCCCAGGGATGGGCTCCCCGTAGAACCTGCGGCCGCAAGGTGGGGGGCCGCTCAGAGGGCCCGCATGTGCGGGTGTGCCACTTGCCCCGCTCGGGCCGACCTGCCGGGCAGGCACAAGCAGTGGCTGCGGAGCCGCCTTGAGGCGGGTGCAGGGCTGCGGCAAAACGTGCACGCACGCGGCACGACGCCCCCCTGCAAGCGGCCGTCGTCAATGCGCTCACGACTTGTAGTTTGTCGCCTCGTCTGCCGCCCGGTTGACCACCATCCGCCCGTCCGGCAGCAGCCCCGCCATGCACTGCGCGGGCCCCGACAAGGGGTAAAGGCAGCCGCGGCAATCAGAGTCAGGCAGGCCCGGCGGCTTCCTCCCAGCAAGAGGGAGTTCCGAGCGGCGCGACCATGTGTGCGGAACGCCGCCGCCTTTGTGCGCAAATGGCAGGTGGCTGAGCCTATGGGCCCGCGCCTTGGCCGCCCCCGCTGCTCACAATGCCCGCGTGGCGGTCTATGTTGTGTATCCTGCGGCTGGACCGCTCCACCAGCAGCTTTGACACGACCAGCTTCTCCACAGCCTGGGGCACCGCGAGGAGGGCGTACGGCAGGGCCGGGAGCCGCAGGAGGGGGGCGCACGGTGGAATGCCGGCGACACGCTACGGATCCTATGTCTGCGACCGCCCCACTTGACAGTCACTGCTGCTGTGGCAGCGCCAGCTGCCAGGGTGCCAGGTTAGCAGCAGCAGCAGCTCAATACAACACTGCTCAATACAACACTGCTCAATACAACACTGCTACTTATGAAGGTACATAAGAGGGTCGCCAGCAGGCGCGGTACCAATCTGCTGCCACCTCCCGGCTGCGCTGCGCCCCCACTGACGTCACCCTGCCATGTGTTGCGGTGCGCACCAGGACGACGCCATCCTTGCACTTGATACCAAGTGCGGTGCTGCGTCAAGGCACGAGCAACGACGATGTTAGTGTCGTCAAACAGCACAAGAGGCTCGCAGGCCGTGCTATGCTGCATACTGCATGCAAAGGCTGCCTGCGCCGCTGCTGGACCTTGCACACCTGCTGTTGTCTACCGCCTTCTGCGCATAGTCCGTTTGAAACACCTTGCCGTCCGGTGAATAGGTAGTCGCTGATAGATCGTACTGCGATAGGGAGGAGAGCTGGCAGTGAGCACCTGGGTGCTTCACATGAGGGACGCATGCTTCTATCCCTGCTAGAAGCGCACCCCTGTGCCTATACCCGACATTGCTGCTGTCTATATGTCTACTAAAGAGATGATCTAGACGGATTGAGGACGGGGCGGGGGTCCTGTGCGCGAATGTGATCTGTGCGCGATCTGATGCTATCGTCGTGCTAGTGTATGCAAGCGTGTGGAGATCGTCGCGAATACTGCAAAGGTAGAGGGGGAAGTCGGACAAAGGTTCTGCGACCAGCAAGAGATGATGGGGTGGTGCAGTGCTGTGTAGTAATGCAGCTGAGCTGCTGCTTCGCGCCTTGTCTGCTTGTAAAGCCCTCATGAGCAACGCTGCGTCGTTTTGCTGTGGTTCACCGTAAGTTCCAAACAATCAAGAGCGGTCGTGTTTTTTGCAAAGTCGAGCAACACCCGTAAACGTCATCACCCACTGTCCCAGGCGAGCGAGCGCTTGTTTAGCACCCATCAGTCGCATAGAATCGTCTCCATATCTCATACGCGCCGTTGGGGCGCTGCACGCGAGCAGCATGGCCACGGACACCGCGCAGCAAGCCTCAGCTGAGGGACGCGCGACGGGCTTCTTCTGCAGCACCAGGTGCGTTTGTATCGCGTGCCTTGAGTCTTTACGGCCGGGACTGTCAGGCCGTTGCGCATGGCTGCTGGGCAGGAGCACATGCGCGAGAGCGCGACCCGCACTGTTGCAGCCGCCGCTCGCGTGTCCGCGCCTGCCGCTATCATGCGACCCCTACACAGCTGCTGGTGCAGCGGCCACCGATGTAGCGCCGCGCAGAGTTGGCATCCACCTGCTAGCTTCATATGCACGCCCATGTGCCATTCGGTTCCCGCTGCTGCGCACGCAGCGCATGGTTGGTAGCCCCCCCCCCTATCGCGTCACCCGCCCCACCCTCCCCTCTCTCCGCACAACCCCTCGCACTTTCAGCGGCACCTACTTCTCCGACAAGGAGTCCTTGGCTGAGCACTATCGCAGCGACTTCCACCGCTACAACTTAAAGCGCAAGGTGGCGGGCCTGCCACCCGTTACAAAGGTGCGCGCCCAAGCCGGCGCTGCGAGCCGCGGGCCGCGGGCCGCTGTGCGCAAAGCGCCGGGCTTTCATGGCCTCACCGCCCTTGCACGAGGGCGGGCACTGGCAGCGCGGCGCGGCGCGCAGCCCCGAGCATGACACGGGGGCTGCGTGCGACGCATGGAGGACACATATCATGCCTCCATGCATGTGTGTCGCTCGACGTCGGCTCCGCGTTGAGTCAGGCTGCTGAGCGCCCCTGATTGCGGATAGCATTCAATCACTAGACCTGTCAAGCCGAGTTACAACATCACAGATGCACGCCCCATCCCCGGCCTCAGGAATGGTTTGAGGCCCGCAAGGCGCAGCTGGCGTCGGCCGCGTCCGCCCCCACGCAGCGCGTGTGGTACGACCCCCTCACGCGGCGCAAGTTCATGAGCGAGGCGAAGTACAGGGAGGCGGTGGGCAGCAAAAAGTACGCAGAACTGGTGAAGCGCAGCGGCGCGCCCGCGCCCGCGCCGGTGGTGATGCTCAAGCGGCTCGACGATGCGGGTGAGCAGGCGGCGAGGGGTGTCCGCGCGGGGCATCGGCGTACAGGGAGAGGTGTGCGCGCGGCTCGCAGGCGACCGGGCGGCCGGTTGGAAAGTGGCATTGCGCCGGCAGCCGTTTGGTGGCCGTGGATCAACGGGCGGTGTCGGATGACAAGTGAATGCAGAGCGTTAAGGACTGCGCCTGCACACCCGCGCCTGCAGGGCCGTCCACGAGCGGCGCGGCGGACAGACCGGCGCCGGGCTTCCAGGTCAAGGCCCCCGCGCGGCCTGCGGCTGCTCCTAGTGATGCCAGGGCCGTGGCAGCTGATTTGGTTGAGGAGGGGGGCAGCGAGGACGAGGAGCAGGACGAGCAGGGCAGCGAGGGCGCGGGGTCTGGATGGGAGACGGCGTCGGCGTCGGACGAGGGCGAGGAGGGAGAGGAGGAGGAGGGTGTCTCAGACCTTGCGTCGGCCGCCGCCGGCCTCTCGCTCGGCGGCCGCGGCCGCGTGCGCGCAAAGCGCTCCGCCGCGCGCCCTCGCGGCGGCGCAGACGCCGCGGCGGCGGCGGACGGCGGGGCCGGGGCCAGCGGCGGGGAGGATGACGAGGAGTGGGAGGAGTGGGATGTGCGGCGCAGCCTGTTTGACAACCGCGTGTCTGGCAGCATGCAGGAGAATCTCGAGTACATGTACAAGAACTTCGGCTTCTACTTCCCTGATGTGGAGTTCTTGACAGATCCCGAGGGTCTGCTGCGCTATCTGGGCTCCAAGCTGCAGTACGGCAAGGTGAGGGGCGGGGGCTGCGGGAGCTGGGGGGTTAGCGGGGCAGTGGGTGTGAGGGCATGGGGCTGCGGCTGCGTGGAGGCGCCAGTGGGACCCCTTGTGTGTGGGGATTCGTCACAAGGGGGGTGCCGTCTGTGGGGCCCCGTCAAGCCTGGGGAGTTGATGGTCCAGTGGGTGCTGCAGCTGCCACTGGCTGGTGTCTGAAGGCCATGCGCACAGGGCAGGGCTGCTCAAGGCAGTGTTTGAATGTGCTGTTTCCGCAATCCTGCGGCCGAGGCTCCGCCCCACCCACCCCCCTCGGCCAGGCGCTCGCCGCAAACCTCCAGCTCCGCCGACGCCCCCTGTTGTTCCCCCTTCTCTTCCTCCGGAGTTGACCTGCCTGCACCTTCCCCATCCACGCTCACACAGGTCCCGCTGTACACGCCCGGCGACGACCCCAATGCGCGCCAGTTCCGCTCGCTGCACGCGGTGCAGCGCCACATGGTGGACGCCAACCGCTGCAAGATGGCGTACGACGACAACGAGGACGAGTACGCCGATTACTACGATTACGGCGCGGCGGCGGGCGACGAGGCAGATGGAGACGCGGACGCGGCGGGCGGCGGCGGCGCGCTGGTGGCGGCCGGCGGGGGCGGCGGCGGGGCGGCCGACCTGGCGGTTGATGGGCTGGAGCTGGTTGTAGGGGAGGGCAGCGGCGGCGGCGGCGGCGGCAAGGTGCTGGGGTCGCGCTGGCTGGCTCGGTACTACAAGCAGCGGCCGCGCCCCACGGGCGCGCCCGGCCGCGAGCAGCGCGCGGCGGCCCTCGCTGCGGCCCCGGCGGCGGCGGGCGTTGTGGCGCAGTACCGCGCGCTCGGCATCGAGACGCGCGCGCCGGAGGCCGTTGCGGCGGCGCGGCGCGCCCAGCGGGCGCAGCGGCGCGGCGAGCGGTCGCGGCTGAACCTCGCCATGAAGGCCAACATCCTGCACAACCTGCCCAAGAACGTGACGTATTGATGACGTCACAGTTGTCCTCCCGGCCCTCCCTTGCGTGACGTTTGGCAGACCGCGCACGCGGCTGTGCCGACATCTCAAGGGAAGGCCGGCGGCGGCAGCTCATCATGCCAGAGCGCCATTGCATGCACCGGTCGGCGCGCAGCAGCTCAGGCCAGCTGTCATGTGTGTTTGCACCTACCCTCGTGGATGCACGTCCAAGCTCTTGTGTCTGTAGCTGTCTTGTTTCATTGTTGCGTTATGGGCAAACGTCGCGTCAAGAGGCTTGCTCGTGTGCACGCTGGCCGAGTAAGAGACATTAACACGGAGGCCTTGTGAGGATTTCAGCCTGCAGCTCAACTTAAGGCGCTGGGTCATACAGGCCGGAGGGCAATTATGACAGAACAAAGCAGGGCCCAGGCTGTGCAGGCAGCAGCAACCAGAAGGCCAAGAGGCAGGCCAGTGGGTGCATCTAGTCATCCTCTGACCTATATGGCCCTGCCCACAATGCTCACCGGGGTCCAAACATGCAACCATGCTTGGGTTTGCAAGCGAGCGCGTGTGTGAGGGCATGCATGCGGGCAAGCGCTCACATGCAGGCAAGTGTGCGCGTGCCAGCACGTATGCAACTTGAGTTGTACTGTTTCAAGCTGCAAGCCAAGCAATGTGCTCATGGGGTGGACAGCCAATTGAACGCCAGCATTCGACTGGAGTAAGCTCGTCAGAACCTCAGAAGCCATCGTCGGAGGGCACCAGTTAAGCGTTGCGGTAGCGCCCAAGGAAGAGGTGGGGCGCCGCAGCCCACTATCGAACGCACAGAGCGCTCCAGAGAGGAGGGCGCGACGGTGCGCGGCTAGCACGGAAGGCGCGCATCATACTCCACGTTGGCGGTTGAAGATTCCAGCCTTTGCTGATCTTTGAATGCCGACGAAGGCCCCAAAGTGGTCCTGACAGTCAAAACCAACAATGCAGGGGTTGACTGGCGACCGGAATGTGTTGCAAGTTCTGGATGGATGTACGAGTGCTGAACACGAGCAGTTCATGATATACAAAACCACACTGTGTCTTCAAGTCCTACCAGTTGTATGTCAGAGCTTGGAAGCTGGGAGCGGCTTCGTCACCCGCTGCTGTCATACCGTCGAAATCCTGCACCATGATCATGTTCGCCACACCTGTCAAAAACTGTTGCGCAACACGCATTCAATCCGGCCAGCTATTGTACACATTGCCAGCACCCGTAGAACGAACCAACTCGCGTGATCTGGGTCGCACAGCATGGCAGCGACCACGGCCTTTGAGCCTGGGCATCATGACATGGTGCATGACGTCCAGTTTGATTATTACGGGCGGCGTCTTGCGACCTGCAGCAGCGACCGGACGATCAAGGTGTTCGAGCTGTCCGGCGATCATAAAGCCCAGATCGCCGACCTCAGGGGTCATGAGGGTCCGGTGTGGCAGGTGTCTTGGGCCCACCCGCGCTACGGCTCCCTGCTGGCGTCCTGCAGCTTCGATCACCGGGTTATTGTGTGGAAAGAGGGTCCGGACGGCCAGTGGATCCAGGTGAGCTACACCAGATACTCAAAACATCCATTTGCCGGGGATCTGTGCCATACCGCTGGGCCGCCTTGGCGCAGGCACGCCAACCCCCCCGGCGATGATGGTTGCTGCTTTGCTGCTG